GACCTTGTGCTTGCAAGGCAGGCGTGGCACCACTGAGCTAAATTTCCGGTCCCAGACAGTTTAATTACTGATTAAGGTTTTTTCGGTACCGGGGATTGAACTCAGGTCCTTGTGCTTGTGCAGCAGGCAGCAAAATAATTACTGATAATTTTAAAAATATGTTACATAGTGGCCATCAATCTGTTTTAGGAGGTGGAGGGAATAGGACTCAACCTCCTCCTTTAGGCACAGAGAAACTGGAGCCTGGATAGGGGAGGCCACGTGCTTAAGGGGAAGTGAGGAGAAGCCTTGGTCTTCCCATTCTGTATTTTCTGCAGCACCATTTCCATCTTAAAACTCCTCTGGGAAGATAAAGCAAGAGGGTCCATTTTTAAAATTCAGCTCATTCTACACCAGGGCTTTGCAGCAGCAGAAGAGGCCCTCTGTTGATGTGGAGCCAAGCGGGCAGAGCTGGTGGGTGAGCCTTATGCCAATGATGTGGCACAGGCCCAGCCAAAAGACCCTTGAAGGAAATGGAAACAGAATCCTCGGAATTCAGTGGAGCACGAGCGCCTTTCAGAGAGGCCACGCCTTCACAGTGGCCTGGACTTCCCTCGTGTCCACGCGGACTGCCACACAGAGGTCACAGCACATCCTCAGATGGCCCCCAGGGCCCAGGGCGCCTCGTCTCTCTGCCCTGGGCTCTGGTCCTGCCATGTTCTGGCTACAAGGTCTCGGACAAACCTCTCACCCTTTATGCGCCTTTGCTTCATCATCCATCATATGGTGACAATGACAACATCTACCCTATGGGCTGTGGAAGATTAACTGAGATAATATATGTCAAAGTTTCTCCAGGACTGGGGATTGAACCCAGAGCCTTTGCACTGAGCTACATCACCAGGCTTTTACAGTTTTTAAATTTTTTTTATTTTGAGACTGGATCTTACCAAGACCCTAAGTTGCCCAGACTGGACTCAAACTTGTGAGTCCAATCTCCTGCCTCAGCCTCCCAGAGAGAGTCAGGGCTGAGGATGAAAATGCACCCAAACGGCACAATGGCCAGGCCTGCAGGCCTCTCTAAGAGCTAAACAGCAACTTGAGATTATACTGCAATCAGCACCACCCAGTAGAGGCAGCCTAGCTGGGTGAGCACAACGTCCGGGCCCATCCTGCCATCCCTTCCTGTTCCTTTCCAAAAACACCTTTGCTCATACTGTGTCAGAAGTCAGAGATGCGCTACAGTTAGAGATGCCCCGAACGCCCCTGAGCATGCCTCCCCACTGGGCAGTCCTCGAAGTGACTGCACTTGGGGTTCCACTGGCTGGCTGCAGGCTAACCTTGGGCTTTGGCTCTGTACAACATTCTTGGAGAAAGCGTCTCCTGACACCATCCAGAACCCCTCCTGACCCTGGGAGCTTTCTCTCAGTAAACCTTTCCTACTCTCAACTGCTGTGGGCCTTGAAAGCCACTCTGCTCCTTAGGGGACAGGCACTCGGCACACCTGGCATCTGACAGGTTGGGAGCTATTTTCCCTGGCACACTGGGATTCCAGGCGTGCAACACCATGCCCGGCCCCACAGAACGTGCTTAGTGATATTCAAGTGCTCTTCATGGGGAATTCAGGTACTGTTATATGAAACTTTCTTAGAGTAGCTATTTCTACATTTCTTGTTGTACACTGCAAAGAAGAAATCGATTTCTTTTTTTTTGGTACTGGGGATTGAACTCGGGTCCTTGGGCTTGCACAGCAGGCAGTGAAACCACTGAGCTAAATCCCCGGCCCTTGAAATTGATTTCTTACGGCAGATTCTATCGTCGATGCTCTAGCTGGGATCTTAAGCATCCCCAGGGCCAGGTATGAAAGTCTCCATCCCCACAGTGGTACTGACCACCAGGACATGCACCTCAGGCCGAGGCAGGGGTGCCAGCTGGCCCTGGCCTGAGCCCCGCAAGACTTTCTCTCCTTATATCTGGATCATGTCAAGTACTCATTGCAGTAACACACTGACATTAGTCACCAGAGATGAAATAGCTGAATAACATCAGTCACTCAAACAATGGTGCCAAACTTCTAGAGTCATTTTCCTCAGAAATCCTTGGTGCCCTCATTCGGCCGCAGACCTGGAAGTATCCGTTCCTGGTCTCCACATGACCCCACTGTCTTCTGAAAGACAATGACTTTGGCAGGTTACATTTATAATACCTGCAAGAAGATCATGAGCAAAAACCCCTGAAATGTTCTTATTTCCGCTGATTAAATTAGTCCTGAATGCCAGGGATATAGCTCAGCGGCACAGCACCTGCCTGGCAAGCACAAGGTCCTGAGTTTGATCCCTGGTACCAAAAAAAAAACAAAAAAAAAAGAAAGAAACATTCAACAAATGTTTAGGGCCGGGGATTTAGCTCACTGGTCTTGCTGCCTGCTGCACAAGCACAAGGACCTAAGTTCCATCCCTGGTACCAAAAAAAAAAAAAAAAAGTCCTGATTGCCTTGTGCCATGTTTTAAATTTGATATGAAATTATATTACTCTTATAAGTAAAAAATACTCTTCTTAATAAAATAGATTATTTGGGGGATAGGGCATTGGGGATGATGCTTAAACTTTTCCTTTGTTTATCAGTGTTATTCGGTAATGAAAACATATTGCTTTTGTAAGAAGAAAAAAGTGAAAACAGATATTATGGTTGCAAATGTGACTGGAGGGGTGGGAAGCTTGGGAGAACTTGCCAGCCACAACAAGCAAGCAATTAACCCTGGGAGCCCAGGACCCCACCCCCCCAGGAGACCGGCAAGGTCAGGCTTGTTGGAAGAGGGCAGTCAAGGCGGCCAAAGAATTCTTTCCAAGCAGTAGGAGGACAACATGGTGACAACAGCCATCACCTGACAGAATGCAGCAGAAGTTACTTTTGGGGGGGCCCCTGGAGAACAGAAACTGCTCCTTATTCAGCTCTGTGTCCCCAACAGAGGGTCCACCAAATAGTAGGTGTTCAGTAAATTTTTGTTCCATTGAATTTGTTGTTGAAGGAGTGAATGCTGCAGAAATAGACATTATCAAACAAAAAGCTAGTGGAACTGTAGGGAAAATGGGCTCCTGTGGTCTCGGGAACAAAACCCCTAAATGGCCATGTGCCAGCACTCTAATGCATCCACTCAGGCAGGCTTAAGCAGATTAACACCTACTGGCTTGGGTGAGAAACGCTTTTTGCCTGGGGAGCAGAAAAGAACACCCCTCGCATCGCCTCTCTTACTAGGGGACCTCCAGGGAGAATCGCTGCTGCTGCTGGTTTTTAAGGAAAGGAATAAAGGAGATTTTGTGCTGTTTGTGCTTAATTTTAAAGACAGCTCTGATGCTTTTTATTTGTTGGGAAAACAATAACAATGCTTCCGTCTTTGTCTAATTCCTGTATTTTCCTTATGCCTTCCCCTCCCCCCGGCCCCCACTGCCCCATCGACATTTTTTCAAAGGTCTGAGGCCGTTGGTTTCTGAGAATCCTTTGAGGATCCTCAAAGGGCTGCTGTTGGCCACCACACAGAGCTGAAACTTAGGGAGGGGAACATTTTCTTCCACTCTCAACAAAACGTTCTGATGCCTCAAGGTGTTTTGTTTTGTTTTGTCTTGGAAAAGGCTTTAAACACAGGACAAAAAGGGTGCTTGACTACCACAGCCAGTCACTAATGAGCTGCTGAATAGGTGAGTGAATGATTATCCAACACAAACCAGACCTCATGCTACTTTGTTTTCATACTTTGACTCATTAAGTCTTCACAACAACCTTCTGAGGTAAGTGGTGCTCCCTCCTTTATCAGGTGAGAAAATTGAGTCCCAAGAGGTCAGAGGACTTGCTCAGGTAAGTGGTAGAGTTGGGATTTGAACGCAGCTCTGCCAGCTCCAAAACCTTTCCACAACACCCTTACTTCTCATACTTGAACATGCATTTAAGCCCTTGGAGATCTTGTTATAATGCAGATCCGGACTCAGTCTGTTGGGAGCAGGGTATTTCTAACACACTTGTACGGACGTCAGTGCTGTTGGTCACAGAGCACTTGGAGTAGCAAGGCTTACGACCCTCCCCCCCATCTTACTGTGCCAAGCTCTTCCCTATCTGGGGCCTGGGCACCTGCTACCCCACTGCCCAGCACTCTCGTCCGGCAGAATCTAAGTACCACGAGGGCAGTGACTGCTTCCTGGCATGCATCCTGCATGTTGGGAGCCGTTGACAATTAGGAGTTACAGATTCTGCCAATGACCTGGGAGAATTTAGACCACTTTCCAGGCGACCTGTGTGTACCTTTTCCTT